TCCTCTACCGCTAAAGGCTAGTGTGCTTCGAACGTTGGATGAGGTTCGTTGCATAAGGCTGGTCTTCATCCAAACTATAAAGCCCACGTTTCGCACGATGGATGAAATCCAAAGCTTTGTCTTTCGCACGACCATGACACCAAAGCTAGAGATAGATGTATTGCTACCTTGAAAACCGTACCTGTTCACTACTGAACCCAACCCAACGGCGTCAAGCACGTCTGAAGCCTAACTGCGGTATCTTATCTACCCATCTATCTAAGCCTCCATCCAAGGCGACTGGACTCTTTTAATTCATTCATTCAGGCACGACGCACAAGACGGACGATGCACGACCTAGTAAGGAGATCTATCGTACCGTACCGCACCGTGCCGTGCGGCCGGAGACTCGACTCTATATAAGCAAGTTAAGCAAGTCTCCCGAGAGCGACGGCTCGGAGTTTTTTGGTTTGGTGTTGGGGCTTGTTGTTGGTATGGGTTTTAGTATGGCTTTGGGATGGGTTTTAGGAGGAGGAGGAGGGGGAGGATTAGGATGAGGATTAGGATGAGGATTAGGATGAGGATGGGGATTGGGATGGGGTTGGAGTTGTTTATGTGGGTGTTTGAGATGGACTGTGTGTGTAGGTAAGTGAGGGAGGGAGTGAGGGAGCGAGGGAGGTAATTGGGTGAAGGCTGATGGTGGATGGCTGATGACACGGCTGATGGTCTATGAAGGTAAGAAAGGGAAGGTAGGGAAGGTAAGGAAGGTAAGGAAGGTAAGTCGAGCTATTGTGCGGGTTGTGTTCGAGGCATGCTTCTGTGTATGAAGTTTATGGATGTAGTGCAGGGGCTGGATGGATTCTCTTTTTGTGGGTTTGAGGGTCTGGCCTTTGACGAGGTGGTATGATGGATGGTGTGGATGGTGTTGATGGGGTTTCGGATCCTGTGGGAGGAAAATGGATGGTACTTGGATCTGGATCTCAGACTGAAGTCTAACAGACTGTATTAGTCTGTAGAAGCGATTAGTGAAGCTCGTCTGTTAACAGGAGGGTTCATAGTTAGTGGCTGGGGTGAGGTAGGGCTGAGCTGAATTGACAAGGGAGTAGTTTGTGTAGATCAGATTGGTGTTTTGTTAAGTTGTGTCATATCATGTTTTGCTTTGCTGAATAGTGGCCGGTCTACGTCCAAAGGATTCGGGGAACTCACGGGAAGGGAACTGGCCATTAGGCTACGTTGTAATACGGTTTACACTTTTTTTATCGACTGAGTTACTCAAATCGAGGCTTTTGATAATATGGTGATTTTACTTGCTTGAGGCTTGGACGGTGGAGGTCGAAGTCGAATGAATGACTGTTGGAATGAAAAGGAGGTGGGTAGGTAGATAGATGATTGGAGATACAGTATCAGAATATGGAGGAGAGGACGACAGGTAGGAGATGAGTTATGATTTAGTGGAAACGAAAATAGTCAGTACGAAATTGTCTAAAGTCTTGAAGGACTTCGGTGATATATACACATCCTTCTCATGCTAAGAGAACTTGCTAATAAAACACATCTCATCAGCGCCTCACAAATTACATTGAGAACCGAGGGAGAGATAAAGAGAGAGGACTAATATACACGATCTGTGACTTCTTGTTTCGTTCGTGCTTTCCATTCTTCAGTCTCAATTCCGTCTCTCTCCGCGTCGCTGGTCGTTCCATTCCCCTCTTCCATTGATTCCCTCAAGCTCTCTTTCCTTCGATTCATCGCTGCGCCTCTCATCTCCTCTGAGCTCCGAACGACTTTGAGAGTGAGAAGTGAGCACGGCTTGACGTAAATGATGACCGCGGTGAGTCGCGGTCTCTCCTTCTTCCTATCTTGCATTTCTTGGCAATCTTCCCTATGGTTCTTTCTCTACCTTCCTCTAGCCCCTTGGAGTCGAAATCCATCTGGGCTAGGTTAAACATTTTATCGTGAAAGTAATGAATTCGTAAGAGAAGGGTGGTAAGGGTGGAATAGAGTATGCGGCATATCTCCATTGGCACGTTTCTGATATATGTCTACGAAGGAAGCGGTGACGTAGTGGGAATCCGTCTTGAGGTCGTGTCCTTCCAAATCCTAGGATCTGGGGTTCTGGTAGGGACTGATATCCACGGGAAGACTGCAGCGCAGAAGATTCTTCATGCCTCACTGAAATTGCTGGTCTACTGCATAAGTATGAAGTGGGTTTGTTGATGTATGTCTCGCTCTGCTGATTCGGGATTGTAGATCTTCCTGCTCCATGATTGAGAGGAACGGGTTTCGCAACAGAACGTTACGTATTACTGTACGTCTCCATTTACATCTCCGAGAGGCCCCGAGAGGCAGGAAACGGATTCAGGGAACTAATTACTCTTGAGCATGATTTGTGACATTGTCAGACAGTAGCTCTAGAGAATTGGTGAGCATTGTGTTCTCGACTGGGAAAATGGCACCTCCTTTCGATACATATCACATGGGACAGTATGGAAATAGAGACTAAGTGAGTAGTAGTAATTCGCCACTTTGGACCCGAAAGCATACGAAAGTATTCTGCTGCTGGACTGGCGAGATTGCCAAATTGAGCGGAGAGAGTAACGCGATTGTGACTCTTGCAACAGAGATTTTCTTCTGGTGATTTCTCCTCGTTCTCACGATAATTATGCCACTCTGACCTAGAAGATCCAATCCGCAGACCATATCCGTCCTTCTGGAAAGCCAAAGAAGTGTTATCGAAGATCAAAGATACTTATACCACCGATGTAGCGAGAAAAGAAAATCGATGACATACATGATACATACATACATACATACATACATACATACATACATACCTACCTACCTACCTACCTACCTACCTACCTACCTACCTAGGGACCTACCTAGGGACCTACCTCACACACAGCAAATTCAACCATCGCATTATTCATTCTCCACCTCGTGTGAGACAAGCTTCTGAAATACTGCTTGACCAAGCTTGATAAGCCGACCACCCCC